GAAAAAAAATGTATTATTTAATATGACAATAACAGTATATTATTATTATGGTGAATGTTTTTATTATGACCTCAAACCACTGAACTGTATCAAACTCATATTATGTTATAGTCTGTAGGTAGGTATTTATTTTTTATTTTTTATTATACTTTGTTATCACTTATCACTGATAAGTAATAAAATAAAATAAAATAAAATAGTTATCAGTTTTAAATGCCACGTGTCGACGTACCACGTAGCAGTGTAGTTCATTTCCACTATCTTTTTATTGTCCCACTCATTTTTTTCACATAAATTTATTCCAATTTCAAATGATTTCAAGTTTTTTTTATTTTAGTCATGATTTAAGATAATCTCATGATCTTAGTATCATGGTTACCATTGGCGAATTTTATGTATGTATGTGTATGTTCGGATGTTCCTATATAAAATATATGGATGATGGATGTAGGTATGTTAAAAGAAATCGTTYTTCTCGAAAAACTATTTCATCCAAACATGACGTTTAACTTTGTATAATAAATATTTCATTTTTATGGAACCTTCGATTCACTTCCAAAGGGTATATAATACGAAACATTTGGATGAAAATGTTATGTCCAATAAAAATGTTATTTATTTGAAATTAAATGTATTGGCCATAGAATTTAAACAATATTTTTGTATTATGCATAGTACATAAGTAGATCAGAAACTTAATATGGACGATAAAGGTACATGTTATGTGAAAATGAGGGGGAGACTTAGCTACCCTCAATGTTGTTTTGATTTCTTTAAAAACAGATACCTCCGAATAGATATGATTCATTTTGTGGATTGATGGAAGAAGGACTAAAATTTGCAAGTAAAAATTTCATATTTGCATCTAAATGTTAAATACTAGTTATATTTCAAACAAAAATATCTATCAATGTATCTTTATTAATGTTAATGTTAGCCTATAACCTTAGTTGTTGAGGCTTAAATAAGTGAAAAAAAAACAATATCTATCTATTAATTTTATAGATAAAAAAATTATTTAAATTTAAATACAAACAAAATAAAAATAAATTATAAAATCAGGAGTCACTTAGATAATTCTGTTTTGCCATTGTTTTTCGTTAGTTGTAAGCTATTATTAATAATATTAAGAGCATAACTACAGTTAATGGAGTATAGACCAAACATTTTAACAAAAATCACACACGGTGTTTATAAGCTTGGAAAAATRAACCTTAACATTTAAATATATATCTACTAACAAAATTAATAAAATATAAAATAATCCATTTTAATAGATTAATAAAGACAAAATATTTAAAAATCTTTCAAATCTTTTTTGATTGTTTCATTTACAATTTGGGAAGGATATAACTTAAATTTGTTTGAAGTTTGAATGAATTTTTAGAGCTATTTATGATCATGAATTTTTTATTCGCTTGATAATATAAAATAAAGTTAAACATGAATTGATAATATTGTAAAGTCAATAAAAAAAATTAAGTGTACGTCCACACTATGATTAGTATATAATTATGCACAAGAAGACTTCAGTTTATAATCTCAAAAGAAATAAATTAAAGTAACTATTAAAAATTATAAAGTCGTGATTGCATGAATATTTATAGGTCACATAAAATTATGTCGAAATCAATTTCAAAAAATTGTGTACACAATAATTATCAATATGAGTTAAATTAAGAAAAAAATATTTGAAGGGGGGATTGGCGACCGCAAAAAAAAATGGATTTCCAGAAGCAAAAAAAAATTTGATAAACAAAACTTAATGTAAGTACTAAGTATACACCCAGAAGACTTCAGTATGTAATCTCAAGGAAATGAAATGAAATTTATTATTAATAATTATAAAATCGGGATAGTATGAATATTTATAGGGCACATAAAATTATGTCTATTTAAAAATTTAAAAATTGTGTACACAATAATCAACAACAGTGAAATTATGAAAAATAAAAATTGGAAGTGGGGATTGGCGACCAAAGAAAAATGTATTTCAAGAAGCAAAAAAAAAAATTTGAAAAAAATTACTACATAATATTATGCACAACGAAGACCTCAGTATGTAATAAAAAGAGAAATATAAAGTAACTTTTAAAAATTATAAAGTTGTGAATTCGTGATTGCATGAATATTTATAGGTCACATAAAATTATGTCGAATTCAATTTCAAAAAATTGTGTACACAATAATTATCAATATGGGTTAAATTAAGAAAAAAATATTTGAAGGGGGGGATTGGCGACCGCAAAACAAATGGATTTCCAGAAGCACAAAAAAAGAAATTGAAAAAGAAATTTCAAGGTAAATATACACACGGAAGACTTCAGTATGTTATCTCAAGGAAACGAAATGAAATTAATTATTAAAAATTATAAAATTGGGATTGTATAAATATTCATAGAGCACATAAATTTATGTCTAATTAAATTTCCTAAAATTCTGAACACAAGTCTCAATATGAATTAAATTAAGAAACAAAAATTGGAAGGGGAGATTAGCGACCACAGGCAAATGATATGTAAGAATCAAAAAAGAAATTTGGATAAAATTATGGTCTTAAAATACACAATGAATAAAGCACTATGTATTCTCAAGAAAAATTAATGAAGGATAATTAAATCATGATAAAATTATGTTTTNTAATTGAGTTAAAATAATAAAATACTATTTAATGTTCGGTAATAAATTTTACTTGGATATAAGACTAGATTATTTTTATCTGTTTATTAATTAATTATAAATGGTGTTATWTAGATAAATCAATTATTATATAATAGGTTAACTAACATTCATCCCATACAGCTACTACATGTTGATGGAGGAGCTGGGGCAGATGTACTAGGGCCAAATCCACCAAAACGCCGCTGAGGCCTAAGAGTTCTATAAAAATATGAATATGTGTTTTAGTATAATAACAAAGAAATTAACTATGAAACTTTCTTATAAACCATTCTTACCCGCTTGAAGAAGAACCAGGACGCCTGTAAGTAACTGTATATTGATTACCCCATCTAGTTAAGTTAGGCCTTACTAAACTTTGAACACTGAAAAAGTGATTTATGATATTATTATATCTGMTTTGAATAGATACTAAAATAAACAAGGTATACCTTCTAGATTATACCTATGCTTTGACATGTATTAAGAGTATGAACCCCCAGCGATAGAAATTTATGCTCTTAACACAGGTGGATCATAAGTGTTAATATTTTTAAGCTATTATAAAGTGATACATTAAGGCATTAGATTTTTTCATGATGGATGATCAATAATTGAAATACTTACAAAAATGAAACAAAGTTTATAACACCCCAAAATGTGTCTACAATTTTTTTCTTCATGGGAACAGTTTCGTGTAAATTTCCATCTAAAGTATGAGAAAAAGAGTATTAATAACACAAGTGTAATGAATCATTCTTGGAATATATTAAATATGTAAATGCATCATTTGGAATGGGCAAACTACTCTACTATTTAGTTGAAGCAAAATAAATTTGTTTCATAAGTTATGTAATCTAAAATTGAAATTTTCTATTGAGCACACTGTTAAAATTGTTTCGCTCCGAATCAGACTTTGTCATAAAACAATAGTTCTAATAAATATTTATGAAGTTCAATAGTGAGTACCTTAATTTAAKGTAGTTATTACAATAAGTGAACACTTAATGAAAACTTCACCCATACCATTCAAGGTCAATTTAAATATTTAATGGAAATAACGATTTTTATTTGTAAATATTCCAAGGTCTGATAACCAAAATATGTTAGATACACACTATTTAAGAAATATAACAAAAATTTTCAATTCATAAATTATTATACTGTATTTTCTTCAAATGTAGACAATGTTATAAACTTAACTAGCAATAAACATAAATTTAACATTTACAAAACATTATTTTTGTGATTGATTTAWWTAWGGAATAAATTTATAGAAATTTTAGTAAGCAACTTTAATTTAAAACATAAAAGTATAACTATAACTCTAGGAAAAATTATAATATACAATTATTATTATCAGGTGACAAAAAGTTTATTATAAAAACTTAACTCACTTTGAGATATGTAAACCATTTTGCTTTGATATTTATTGTTTTCTCACAGTCCGATAATGTTAGTCTTCGTCAGTATTTTTGTTTTGAATTTTGTAATTTTAATAAATCTCAATTTCCGTAACAACTAATAATAATATTATTAATTACCATAAACACTGAAACACGTATAACAAATAATTATCGCATACGGTTTACCACATAAAAATGACAATYAAAATATGAATGAATAAAAAAAATGGAAAAAAAATGTATTATTTAATATGACAATAACAGTATATTATTATTATGGTGAATGTTTTTATTATGACCTCAAACCACTGAACTGTATCAAACTCATATTATGTTATAGTCTGTAGGTAGGTATTTATTTTTTATTTTTTATTATACTTTGTTATCACTTATCACTGATAAGTAATAAAATAAAATAAAATAAAATAGTTATCAGTTTTAAATGCCACGTGTCGACGTACCACGTAGCAGTGTAGTTCATTTCCACTATCTTTTTATTGTCCCACTCATTTTTTTCACATAAATTTATTCCAATTTCAAATGATTTCAAGTTTTTTTTATTTTAGTCATGATTTAAGATAATCTCATGATCTTAGTATCATGGTTACCATTGGCGAATTTTATGTATGTATGTGTATGTTCGGATGTTCCTATATAAAATATATGGATGATGGATG